CATTGAAGAGTCAGCATTAAATTGATTATTTTCCACGCAAAACAGGTGTGACAGTGAATAACGACAACGCATCCCAGGTTAACACCTCTAGGCACTTTGTTTTCTTTTTCACATTGCCTTGCCCTCTTTAAGAGAGAATAGTTTTGGACTTTGGTATTGAAGCTGTATCAGTCTACATGGTTATTATCTTATCCTCCCACAGCTGTCGTTAGAAAATGTTGCCAAAGTAGCCGATGTTGGTGTTTCCAAAGAAGCCAAAGCGATCACGGGTACCATGACGGGGACTCCTATGTATCTCGCTCCGGAAGTGATGAAGTCCTGTATGTACGATTACAAAGCAGACGTGTACAGCTTCGGTATAATGCTCTGGGAGATGTGGTACGGTGAGAGAGCCCTTCTTGATGTGGTAGGAGATGTGAAGGAGTTTTATGACAAGGTGCTTGAGGGCGTAAGACCTGCACATGTTGAAGGCTCGAAGAAGCCTCCAACTGGTTTGCGCGATCTGATGCAGGATTGTTGGGACAAAAAACCTGATAATCGACCAGATGCGACAAAGTGTCACAAGAAGTTGACTCAGCTCTATCAGGACGCTGTAGCACCATCTCAGTAAACTCTGATTGTTAGGAAACCACCTTCAATTCATTTACTTTTTAAGTGTATACTTTTGTGGAGCAGCAGTAATCCCTTATGACTGTTATAGCAAATAGAATACCCTCACCTTCGCCAGTTTTCCCGTTTCAAACCGAGTTAGTACATTATAGAAACCTATTTTGGTCTTAGTCAGTGCTAATGTTAAGGACTGTATCCTCCTGTTAGAAGTGTCCTTAAGGTTTTCCCCAACAGTCCAATCATCCTCTCATATAGTATCGAAGAGTATATAACCATACAACAATTCCAGTGATTAAGTAGATTACTTTTACTTAGAGCCGGTAAACATCTGTATCAATACCCTTATAACTGATTTGGCTTTTGGTTTTGATTTTGGCTTATAACTGTTTTGGCTTTAGACAAATAGTGCCAAGTTGCAAATTTAAACGAAGAGCAACAATAAAATGCTATAGGCGGATATTGTTCTGACAGCATGTATGATGGCTTTTTGCCGGATTTAACGGTTAGTTTCACCATCTGGTGTGAGACCCTTGTTATTAGAGATTTCCTATAGAAAATTTCGTTTTTTAAGTATCTACATGTAATAAATTGCAGGAAGGTCAGAAATCATCTACCTACTTCTTGCATAACCATAGAGAAAGCACTAAAAGGGCCAAATCACGTGAAATTAATCGAAGTCTCCTTGAAAGGATTTCCATCACTGAGAAGCGTAGTGGTATCCTTGGATCTCCCTCATTGTCCACCAGTCATCGCTTCATAGTATCGTTAAGTATACCATACAAGATTTTCAATGATTAAGCAGATTACTTTAACACTTAGAGCAAATTAGTATCAATTCCCTTAGGGCTGATTTGTTTTCGCCTTTGACAAGTATTGACCAAGTTGCAAATTTCAACGAAGAGCAACAGGAAAATTGGCTATTGGCGAACATTGCTCTGTCAGCTAATATGAAAGCTTTTTGCCGGATTTAACAATTAGTTTCACTATCTGTTGTGAGACACTATTAAAGAAAATTCTGTTTTTTAAGTAGTTGTATGAAATAAAAAGCAGGAAGGTCAGAAATCATCTACCTAGTTCTTGCATAATCATGGAGAAAGCCCTAAAAAGGTCAGATGACGTGAACTGAATCGACGTTCCCTTGAAAGGACTTCCAACACTGAAAAGCATATATCTTCATGGATGAATTGCGTGATCAACATTGGCAAAAGATAAAGTACTATCATTTCCTCTTGATATTGGTAAATGAGGCAATGAGGCATTTGCGAACAACTCTCGGGTTAGACTTAAATATTTGTGTCTTAAGATTGCAAACTGCGAAGGTCAAATAAAGACTTGATCCAGTTTTCCTTCAATGGATCTTCCAAGGGCTTTTACCGATGCTCATTTCCTGACTCACCCTCATATGTTGTAGTGGGTTGTTAACCATTCCTCTAGAGAAGTATATATGATATGATGACTAGCAGCTCACATAGAAACAGGAGAACGTTGGCGAGTCAGCAAATTACGGTGGGTTTGATGGCAAAAGGATAAATGAGGCACATTTCACGTTTCTGTAATTTCCGAGATAAACGAAGTAAAGCAACGATCCTCGCAGATGAGCTGCAATTTAAGCAACTGTAGAAAAGACTGAAAAGTTTTCAAGCTTCGAC